AAGAATCACTAATACGTCATTAATGTATTCTAGCTCCAATATAACTTTTGCACTCTGCAGAATTTTTTTTTATCTAGCCACACCCAAGAGTTTTCAAGCATTAACCTCCTTTTTATGGTAATTAAACACCATTTCAGTCAGACTCAGGACAGGACTTTGACTAGGCCAAACCAGAATTTAAATTTTTGTTTTTCGGAGGGGGACTTGCTGGTGTGCGTCGGATTTTTGTTCTACTGCAGAATTCAAGTGCTCTTTGGTTTGAGGTCACAAACAGATGGCCGGACATTTTCCTTCAGGATGTCTTGGTGGACAACAGAATTCATGGCTCAATTTATCACAGCCAGTCCCCCAGGTCCTGAAGCAGCAAAACCGCTCCAGACCATCACATTGTCAAAACCATATTTTATTTCTGCCATGATGTTCCTTTTCCTGGCTTTTGAGGATCTTTTGAGATCTGCCCCACTTTGTGAGGCAGGTCCTATTGAAGGTGTGGCTGAAGAAATTGAACTCATTTTTCCAAAATTGTGACTCGGGTTTGGATTTTTTTCCCCCTTTCACAAAAAAATAAAAATAAACACCTTCATTAAAACATAGCATTTTGTGACTAAATAAGATAAATTTGTCCATAATTCAAATTTATCTGATCTAAAACATGTGTGACAAACATACAAAAATGAATGGGGCTAAACATTTTTGTCACTGCTGTATTTTCACCTCATTGCTTTGTGTAAGATATGCAACTTCTTTTATGAAGTATAATATTTGCATTTGGATATAATTTGATAGATTTGAGATTGATGAAGAAAATATTTCTTAAAAATTTCAGTACATTAATATAATAATGTAGCCTCATCAGTTGATGTCATTATTGGCTCACCATTTATGAGGCCAACACTACTTTTAAATATTGAATCATCGCCAAAAAGACAAAGAAATATTTTTAAATACATGTTTTCCAACTATTTTTTTAAGTTTAAAATTATATAATAATTGTTACATAATAATAATAATGTCTCCATTATTATGCAATAATAATGAAAACATTATAATTTTTAAGCTAAGTAATTCTTAAGCTTAAAACTGTAAATGTGGAGGCATTATTATTCTGGAGTTCATTCTGGATTCAGAATGAAAAACTAACGGAGCTCCACAGAAAATCAAAAACAAAATCCTAGTAATTGAAAAAAGTTTGACAAACCAACTGACAATATCAAGAGTTGCAGCCTTCATGAATGGCCATGTGTCTCGTCAAATTTCCATGTCGTGAAAACGCTTTACTGCAAACACTGCAAACAAACGGCTTCTCTCCCGAATGCACTCTCATGTGATTTTCAAGATGGAGCCTTTTATTAAATCTGCTCCTACAGACTGCACAACTAAACGGCCTCTCCTCCGTGTGGAGTTTGACATGCCGCATCAACTGCGTTTCCTTCACAAAACGTTTGCTACAGTCGCCACAGCTAAATAGTGCAGTGTGAACCTCCATGTGTTTTTTCAGACTCTGTTGTCGTGTAAATCCTTTATCGCACTCACTACAAATAAACATTTTCTCTCCCGTGTGAACACACATGTGTCCACTCTGAGTCTCTTGTTTTGAAAATCCCTTACTGCAAACATTACATGTAAATGGGTCTTCTCCTGTGTGAGCACGCATGTGTCTCTCCAGAGTCTCTTGTTTAAAAAATCGTTTACTACAAACACTACAAATAAATGACCTCTCCTGCGCGTGAACACGCACGTGTCTCTTTAATTGAGTTTGTTGTGAAAATCCCTCACTGCAAACGTCACAAATAAATAGTTTTTCTCCTGTGTGAACACTCATGTGCCTCTTTAGATGATGTTGTAGGGAAAATCCTTTACTGCAAACATGACATACAAACGGTTTCTCTGTGGTGTGGATCCTCATGTGCCTTGTTAGAGTTCCTTTTGTTTTAAATCTTGTACCACAGACATAACAAGAAAACGGTTTTTCTTCCGAATGGACTCTCAGGTGCATTTTAAGAATAGCTTTTGCATGAAACGTTTTACCACAATCTTCACAAGCAAATGGTCTCTCTCCGGTGTGGAGTCTCATATGTGTCTGAAGAGCACGCTTTTCTTCAAATCCTTTACCACAAAAATCACAGCTATGTTCTCTCATTCCAGTGTGAGTCATCAGGTGTATTTTGAAAGTTGTGTAATTTTTCAAACTTTTGCCACAAATATTGCAACTGAAATGTTTCTGTCCCGTTTGGACTCCAATCTGAGCAATCTTACTTTGTTGAGAAAAAGATACTGGAAATGGGCCCCTGTTTGGGTTTGGTTCTGGAGTCCTACAGTCATCTTCTTCAGGTTGTGTTTCCATCTGTTTAACTAAGCTGCTGCTTGGAACCCCTGTATCTCCATTGTCTTCAGTTTTGATCTGATGAAGTTCTGACAACTGAGGTTTCTCTTCATCTTCAGTTTTCACAGTAAGCTGCTCTTCATCCTGACTGATGCACAGCTCCTCCTCTTCCTTCTTTATAAGAGGGCGCTCTGGGTCCTGCTCGTCCAAACTGGAGCTCCAGTCCTCGGGAACCTTTTTAATTACCAACATCTGATGAACTGGGGACAGGAAAATGCACACGGACATTGTTGAATGCTCATAATAAAATAAAATGTTATTGTTTACATAGCCAAGATGTCTGCAGACTTTTTCTAGTTTCTAATCTACAAAAAAAAAAAAAATCAAACTAAACTGTTCAAGCTGAATGTTTCCCTCATGACACATTTAGACAAACCCAATTTTCATTACGGTCTGCAAACATTTGTGAAATCTGAAAAATTCCAAACAGTTTCTGAAAGATGAAGAGATGCATTTCACATCCAACTAGAGAGTATTATGGTAATTTTATGGCACTGTATTTTTTTATCCTTGTGGTCTGTTCAACATTCTAGCCACCTGTTTTTAAAGTGCACAGCAAAAATGAAGCCAAAATCTTTGTTTCGGAGCTCGCCTGGTTAGAAGAAATTTCAGCAGCTGGATATATGAGGGGCCCTCTAATGAACATCTAGCCAATTCAAGATGAATTCTGCCTCTGTTGCAATAACAGCAGTGATATTTACATATATTTATCAATTTGATTGTTTCCCCAGTTTATTTACTCTTTTATAACTTCTGGTTGTTAATTTTCTCCAATTCAGACAATGTGTGTCACTTACTGAGATCTTTGCCATCTTGTGTTTCCTCCTCCAGTTCCGACGTGGATGCTGCAGGCAGGAGGGGCTCCAAGCTGAACTCTTCGGGTTCATCTGCTTCAACCTTTATCATCTCAGACATCCTCACTCCATCTGTGGTTTTTGTCTTCAACCTTCACATGTTCTAGTAGGTGATGGTTCTGGTCTTATAACCAGTAAATTCTGTCTTTCTGCTGCCTGAAACTGGAACCAGACACAAATCAGCCTCTGATCAAATAAAGTGCATTAACAGAAAATGTAAGTTGTAGCAGAGCTGAACTGATGCTACAGAGCAGAGTCTGATACCTTGTCAGTAGGTCTGGGTTCACTCTGCTCCAGTCTCTCGGTCCTCACCTGGACCATAAGGTTAGAGGAACTGTCCACAGATGATGTGGTCCTCCCCGCACAGTCTGACAAACCCAATAGTATGGACTCGTGTTGTAGCGTTAAACCAGAAACATTTTAAAACTTCGAAGTCTAAAACACCGATTAGGTCCCTGCTGTTAGCTGTTTTAGCCCTATGGTGGCTAACGGGCCATTCACTTTGCTAAGGAAGGCGATTTATATTATGTACGGGAAAGTTCGGTAAGAAATACTCACAGTAGCTCAAAATAAACACGAAGAAGCAATATTTACAAGAGCACTGTAAACTAGAATATGTGACATCAACTAGACACTTTCTTTTTACACAAAATCTAAGATGTTTTTCTTTTGAGATTTAGCTAATCCAGCTAGCATCGCTACATCCGGTTACTTCCTCCTCCCTGGCCAATTAGTGACAAGTAAAACACCTATTTTGGAAAACGATTTCCACTTTCATCCGTTAGTTTTTCAGAATAAAAGAACATATCTGCATATTATATCAATACAATTTTATAGACGTATTATTACCGAATATTCACTATGATTACTATTTTGAACTCTTACAGTACATAATTACAGCTCAGGACTACAAATAAATGTAGATATTGTCCCGTTATCCTTATTTTATTTCCTCATTTGTGTCTTTTCAGGCATTGTCATAGATGAGTACAAGCCTCAGTTTGGAAGTGTTCAATATTTCTGCATTATACTAGTGGTGGGACTAAATTATTTACTGAATTATCTTATCTCCAAGACAACAATAACCAAAACGTAAGTGGAGGAGTGTGGATTATTTTTCTGATAAACAAATGTGAACAATAAATGAGCAGTTGGCATACTTGAAAATTTATTTTCTATTTTTTTTCTTTTGTGCAATGGAGCTTTCTCGTATCCTTTTAAAAAACACCAGTCATGTTTGAGAAAATAAAAGCATTTAACATGACAACTGTACTCTACGAACTTTACAAAGACATTAAGATGCATTATTTGGAGTCAAGTCAAACACATAAATATAATAATACATAAAAATAACAATAAATAAGTAAAACGATGCACAACGAAACATTATCTAAATACTGTCATGTACTCTGTTCAACAACTATGTGGATTTTTAAATGAGCAAAAATAAGATCATCACATATTTCTTGTCAGGTCCATGAAAACATAACTTTTACATGTCAAGTCAAACATTCAAATAAATAACTTTGAGCATAACACTCCACCAAGGACACATACTTCTGAGATACCAGGCTGACATCTGCATGTTTTGGCAGTTTTCATGGATTAAATCTATGACTTATGAGTCATAGATTGATTTGCAGAAATGTCCGCTTTGACGGTTCAAATTCACAACTAAGGCTTGCATAAAATAAATGATTACTTTCTAAAAGGCCATAATGTTGGCTTTAAAAACACTGCCAAACTTCTGATCTCCTGATTAAATGTAACTTAACAGCTCTTCCTATTAGAGCAACTATTTTCACTTTCCCTTTAAATAAATTTGTAGGAGTACAGGGAAAACCTGTTCCTTTACCACAAAGTTTATCTTCTGTGTGAGCACACGTGTCTCTTTAGAGACTCTTGTTTTGAAAATGCCTTGGCACAAACTCTACAGACAAATGGTTTCTCTCCTGTGTGAACACGCATGTGACTTTTCAGATGAATTTGTTGTGAAAATCCTTTAGAGCAAAGACCACAAATGAATGGCTTCTCACCGGTGTGAACACACATGTGTCTCTTCAGTGTCTCTTTTTGTGAAAATCCCTTACTGCAAACACTACAAATAAACGGTTTTTCTCCCGTGTGAACACACATGTGCCTCTTTAAGGTCTCTTTTTGTGAAAATCCTTTGGAACAAACACTGCAAATAAACGGCTTCTCTCCGGTATGAATGCGCATGTGAATCTTTAGATGAATTTGTTGTGAAAATCCTTTGGTACAAACACTACAAGTGAACAGCTTCTCCCCTGTGTGGACACACATGTGACTCTTTAGGTGGACTTGAAGTGAAAATCCTTTACTGCACACGGTACACACAAATGGTTTCTCTGCGGTGTGAATCATCATGTGGTTTTTAAGAGTTCCCTTCATTTTAAACCTTGTGCCACAAATGTCACATGGAAAAGGTTTTTCCCCTGAATGAACCTTCAGGTGAGTTTTAAGACTTGTCTTTGCATGAAACCTTTTATCACACTGGTCACAGGCGAAAGGTTTCTCTCCAGTGTGGAGTCTCATGTGTGTCTGAAGATAATGTTTTTCTTTAAATCCTTTCCCACAGACATCACAGCTATGCTCTCTATTGCCTGTGTGGATCATCATGTGTAATTTAACATTAGTCTTACGTTTGAATCTTTTACCACAGAAATTGCAGTGAAATGGGCTTCCTCCGGTAGGAGCCATGAATTTGGAATGCAGATCAGACGTTTTTCTTTTCTCCTTAACTGTCACCTCAGTTTGTCGAAAAGAACATGCTGGACTTGTGTTTCCGTCTGGTTCTGGTCCGCCACAGTCCTCTTCTTCCGTTTCTGTTTCCATCTGTTCAGCTGAGCTGCTGGTTGAACCTTCAGTATCTCTGTGGTCTTCAGTTTTGATCTGATAAGGCTTTGATAACTGAGTTTTCTCTTCATCGTCACCATTTGCAGTAAGCTGCTCTCCTTCCTGACTGATCCACAGTTCCTCATCTTCCTCCTTTATGTGGGGGGGTTCTGGGTCCTGCTGGTCCAAACCGGGGCTCCAGTCATGGGGAACCACTTTAATCACCAACATCTGATGGCCTGGGAGTATTGAAAAATACATGAACATCAATATTCGTTTACAAATAATTAAAATCTTATATTAAGAGTAAAACGATTTTTTAAAAATTCTGAAAAGAAAGGGGGAAAAGTACATTTTAAAGTGCTTAACATGATAGAAACATAATAAAATAAACAACCATGTAACAAGCAACAAACATTAAATTTGGTCAAACATGAAAATAATCAAGAATAATCATCATCAAATATGTTGTTCCAGTTGTTTTCATTCACCAGATTTTTTTTATGCTCCAGATAAGTGGAGATAAGACAACTGTAGTTTGCAGCAATGTTACCGTTTCTGCAATTGGCTGCAATTAAGCTTTCTGTCTATTTAACTACCTGTCAAATTCTACTCTGCTGAAGTGGGTGAAGACTGATAGGAATTAACCTACTTTCTCAAACATAATGTTTGATCTCCATCCTGTTGTGTACTTATGGTTAGCAAAAAGAGAGGAAAAAGTGGAGCTTGAATATGTATGCTTGATGTGGGTTAGCTAGGCTGCTGCCCAGGTGTTCAGATAGTTCATGCTTAATTTTTTAGGGGCAGTCCATGGTTAATTTCTTTATGTGTTGTTGCAGATTGTTATCAGTAAAATACATAAATGCCAGTTGTCATGGAAGTTACAGAGGAAGTCCTCTTAAATATTCTTTGTAGTTAGGATGATATGGCCTAAAATAAATATCATATTATAGTGTGGATTTGCCATGATACACAGAACATGTTGCAACATACAGACCCTGTTCTGCAGTGTTCAACTATGCAATAGAGCTCCAAACACTGATTCGGACTCTGGCCTTACTCTCAACAAGAAGACAAAAGTAACAGATTTTTCCAGTTGTTTTTAAATTGTTCATTATCAAAACAAATCTCCTCAGATGAGCAAATATATCTGCAATACTATTTTTTTTTTTTTAAATCAGGCAAACATGATATACCAACAGTATGCAAGCCAAGCAGTAACACATTAGAAAACAGTTCAACACAGATTAGAGCACCAGACTATTAACCCATTTCAGGGTTTATTGGATTTACAACTAAACTTCGTTCTTGTTGCACAGTTTTTATATCACGTTCTGGATGCTGCATTGGGTAGAGATGTATGTCCAAAGAGACTAACAACACTCCTGCAGCAGGAGTTCACCTAATAAATACAGTCTGGTTATACATCCACCAGGCAAATTAATTTGATTCTATGCAAACCAGTGTGTGTCACTTACTGACATCTTTGCTGTCTTGAGTCTGCTCCAGTTCTGAATTGGATGCTACAGGTATTGAGGCCTCCAAGCAGAGCCCTCTGGGTTTGTCTGCTTCAATTTTCATCAATGCAGACATTCTTGCTCGGCTTTCACGATTCTTGTCTTCAACCTTCACATGTTCTAGAAGAGCAAGGTTTCAGTCATATAACTTGGATATTCTGTTTTTCTCTGCTGTATGGACACAAATCAGCAGTTGATACAATAACAAAAGATGTAAGCAGCAGCACAGCTAAAGCGATACCTTGGACAGATGTTCTGGGTCCACTCTGTCTCCAGTCTCTCGGTCTGGAAGTGTCCACGCATGATCTTGTGTTCCGCTCACAGCCTCACAAAACGTAGAGTGTGGATTTGTCCTGTAGCAGTAACCACAAACTTTCAAAAGCTTCAACCTCAGAAGCACTGATTAAGTCTCTGCTTAGCTGTTTTAGCTCCACCGAGTCTAATAGTCAAATCCGGTTGCTAATAAAAGCCAGTTACATTCCGTGCAGAAAACCTCCGCTGGAGGTAATCTCAGCGACTGAAAAAGAAATGCACAACAGCGACATTTTCACGACGAATATCAACTGAATAATCGAAAACAGCAGTCACACACTCATTTTACACAAACTTTAAAACGGTTTTCTCTTAGGGCTAAGCTAGTCAAGCTAACATCCGGTTACTTCCTGTTCGTTGGCCAATCAATGAACAGTAAAGTCCTGATTTGACAAACCATTTCCCACAATCAGTATTGTTTTTTAACAGTATATGCTTCACTGGCCAAGTTTGAGCATACACACGAGTAATTTAACCCCATTTCCACTTACCGTAGAAGTGGAACAAATGTGTATCTTGTAATATTTTATATATCTTTTCAACAATATATACACATCAGTTATTTAATCTATCGTTTTGGTCTAGGTGGGTTATAACGGAGAAAAGAAACTGCATGTTCTCTTTTTAATTCTTACTGTTTGTAAGATTGAAGCTAAAGTGACTAGGAAAAAGTGGTACAAGCATATCAAAAACGTTGACCTGCTGGGAATAAACAGATCTCAATAGAATAAAATATAAACATTAAATCAACACTGTCTCAAAATCAGTTATTTTGGACTTCCGTTTTAAAAACGTACAGATCATTTGATCAATGGAAAATAATAAAGTGACAGCTTTCATGCTGCCAAAAACACATAAAAGAATCCCATTCTTAAAATTATTTGAAAAAATAAAAAGTCACAAGTTGTATTAAATATGTCTGATATGAGCAGTTCAAAGAAGAACACAAAAAATATTTTATTTTCAAATTCATGTTTTCATAAATCTGATATTTTAATTTACTGGGAATTTATATGGACCAGCAAATAACGACATTAATCCTTCTCTTCTACCTTACAGAAAGCAGAGAGGGTTCAGAAATAGGTCACCAGGTTCATCACAAGCCAACATCCAAATCATTAAATCAACAGACAAACAAAACAAACTCATTTAAACATACCAACACTGAGTTCCTTTAAATGTAGACTAAAAACCCACCCTTTATGGAGTTGCTTTTGAAACATTATAAATGAAACATTAATCAATATTCTGATGTGAAACGATGGCACTTGACAAAATGTAGTGTCTCAATTGTTGACTGTGTGTCCTATGACTTTGTATTTTTATGATGTAAAGTACTTTGAACTTCCTTGTTGTTGAAACATGCTATACAAATAAACTTAACTGACTTTGATAGATACCAGTTACCATATTCATTTTGGGACTGCTGAAGGAAGTCAGAGTTCCCAGAGAACTATGGATGTGTTGAGAGAGCATGCCACCTCCACACAGAAACACCCAGGATTCAAATCTAGGTCGTTCTTATTGTGGGACAGCAGCATTAACCACTGCCTAATTCGAAGACTAGGTGCACTGATGAACACGCATGTGTCTCTTCAGATCTCCTTGTTGTGAAAATGCTTTCATGCACACATCACAAACAAAAGGTTTCTCTCCTGAATGAACTCTCATGTGACTTTCCAGGTTGCACTTATGGGTAAACCTGCTTTTACAGACATCACAACCAAACGGCCTCTCCTCTGTGTGGAGCCTCATGTGTCGCTGTAACTGGGTTTCCTTGACAAAACATTTATCGCAATCTCTACAGGTGAATGGTGCTTTGTGAACCTCCATGTGGTTTTTCAGATTAAGTTGTTGTAAAAATCCTTTACTGCAAACACTACAAACAAATGGTTTCTCTCCAGTGTGGAGATGCATGTGACTCTTTAAATTATGTTGCAGTGAAAATCCCTTACTGCAAAAACTACAAATGAACGGCCTCTCTCCAGTATGAACACGCACGTGTCTCCTTAGATTGGCTTGTCGGGAGAATCCTTTACTACAAATGCCACAAATGAATGGCTTCCCTCCTGTGTGAAGATACATGTGTCTGTTTAGGATGGCCTGGCATGAAAATCTTTTGCTGCAAACACAACAAGCAAATGGCCTCTCTCCAGTGTGGAGAGTCATATGAGCCTGAAGAGAACGCTTTTCTTTAAATCCTTTACCACAAAGGTCACAGCTATGTTCTCTCTTTCCTGTGTGGGTCATCATGTGTAATTTAACTGAAGTCTTTTGTTTGTATCTTTTCCCACAAATGTCGCAACCAAATGGTTTCAATGCAGCACCAATTTCAAGTTCATCCCTAGGTTTGGGACAGATTATAGTTTCTTCATCTGTGTTGTGACCCTTCACTCCCCTTTGTTGGGAAGAACAGACTGGATCTGGATTCTTGTTAAGTTCTGGTCCTCCACAGTTCTCTCCATCAGGTTCTGCTTGCACATGCTCAGATAAACTGCTGGTTGGAGCTTCTGCCTCTCCATCACCTTCGTTTGTAAGGTGATGAAGCTCTGTTAACTGAGGTTTTTCTTCATCCTCTCTCTTCACAGCAAGTTGTTCTTCCTTCTGACTGATCCACAGTTCCTGCTCTTCCTTCTTTATTTGGGGGGGTTCTGGGTCCTGCTGGTCTGAAAAAGAGCTCCAGTCATGAGGAACTTCCTCTTTAACCACCAACATCTGACAGACTGGGAACATTGACAGATACACAGAGATTAATTGTTGCTTGGAAAAAAAAAGAAGTGGCCATTCTTTCCCCTAAATTTTAAGAAAGAAAAACTATTTGAGAAATTAAGTAATTTACAAGTAAAAGAATCTGATCTTTTAAAAATTTATTTAATTTAAAAGTCTGTCAGGTTTTCCCTGAGCATCAATCTTGTCAAACTCACAAGACACTGCAGAGGGACTAGTTAAATCATGGCAGTGGCTTGCTTGTGTTTGTTGGCTGGAGGGAAAACACATTTTAATACAAGCTAAACTGAGGAGCACTGAATTTAAGAAGGATCATTTTGAACATAAAGTCAGCCGAATGGACTCAAGGTTGAACCTTAAAAAGAACAAATTCTGTTTTAAGCAGGGTCACCAAAGAGTCTACCTGCTAAAGAGGCCCACTCGACAGATCAGAGGTGATAAATATGTGCAAAATGATTGCACATATTTATCACTTACATTTTTTCCTACAGTGCAGCAGCCCTTTCAAAACTTCCTGTTTGAGTTAACTTGCTCAAATCCAGACAGACAAATGTGTGTTACTCACTGAGATCTTTGCTGTTTTGTGTCTGATCCGGTTCTGATTTGGACGCTGAAGCTGCGCTGAATCCTCCAGGTTCATCTGCTTCAACCTTCATCATCTCAGACATCCTCACTCCACCTGAGATTCTCCTTTTCACAATCCTTGTTTAAAACCTTCACATGTTCCAGTGGTTCAAGATTTCAGCCACATAACCTGGACTTCCTGCTTTTTTCTCCTTTAACTGGAATTGGAGACACATCAGCATCTGATCAGATAAAGTGTTTGAACAGAGAATGAACTGATGCTGCAGAGCAGAGAGCTTGGAACGTTGGTCAGTAGATCTGGGTCCACTCTGTAATTGTCCCCAGTCTCTCTGACCTCAGCTGGACAACAAAGTTAGAGATGTCCAAATGCGATGCGGTCGTCCTCCTGCAGTCTCGTTTTCTACTACTGAAGCATAAACTTTAATTAACTCCCTTCTGTTAGCTGCTTTAGCTCCACAGTTGCTAACAGTCCATGTACTTTACTGATGAAGATCAACTACATTCTGAACTAAAAACTCCGACTAGATAATCACAAGCGTTAAAAACAAATAATTAGAAGCGACATCCTCAAGAAAACTGTAGAGCACGGAGTGTTTTTCCGCTAGGACTGTTACTTCCTGCTTATTGACCAATAAATGACAAGTAAAGCTCTTATTCGTAAAGCCCACTTCCTCTTTCAACGTTTACTTTTTCAAAATAGAAAGACAACCAAAATCAATACAAACTCATCACTTGCTCGGAAAATACTTGAAGTACTAAGAAATGGTTTTTCACCAGTATCAGTTAAAAATGTTATCTTTTTTTTGAATTATTTATTTAAATAGAATGTCAGGCATAAAACTCCACCAGGCTTCCAATGTACATTGCTTGACATAGTTTTTACAACAGAATATAAACCACAGTTGTAAAGGTATCAGTCAGACAGAGAAAGAGAGAGAGGAAGAGAGAGAGAGATTGCTTACAAAATCCATTGGGAGGCATATAGAGCCTTGCAGACTTACATGTTTTACAATGTATAACCTGATTAAGTGATAGGCTGTAATTAGTTCAGATTCCCTTAGTAGAATCCTGGATTTTTGTTAATTCATTCTGCGCAATGACCAGAACCAATACATTTCTGTTAAAGTCAACTTTATTTGTATCTTAAATAGACTTTAACAAATGTGCTGCACCACAATGATAAGCAAGAATAAAGAACAAGAACACAGCGCTTCTTAAAAATATTAAACCAAAAAGAAGCTAATATTTGTCAGAACTACAGTTCTTGCAAATATGTCTTAAACTGCTGCTCTTACTTGGTTTGACTCTTTTGTACAAATCTATTATTTCTGAAAACAAATCACCTAAAATGCTTTATCTTTTGCTTCAAAGTATAAACCTGACTAAAAGAACTTTAAATAAACTTTTGTCTTACACACTTTGATTAAGTGCAAGGCTGTTTAGTCTCTAGTTTGAATGAAACATAATAATTCATCTACTAACATGTCACTTCAGTT